TATTGTGTCCTCCAGTTATACAGGGCGGTGTGCTAAAATTCGGCACCAACTTTCTTATTTTGAATAGGAATATATACAGGCTGTCCCATTTTCGATGGCCTTTGACGGGATATATCTCACTTATTTATTATCGAAGATAGAGATAAGCGGTTTTCGCGAACCTTGGCTACTTTTTTGTGAAACTCACGATAATGCAAACAACATTGTCATAGCACGCTTCCTTTTTGAGATACAGGGCGACACCCCCGCGTATCTCAGCTATCTCTCAACTTATTAAAAGTAAAAACTGTCTTCCATACGTTTTTGGATGTATGATAAATTGACATTCATCATAACAGGACGTGGAAATAAATTCTGAATTGAGAGAACCTAATCACGAATCTGCGATTGAGGTCTACAAAAATAACAAGTTTCCATCGTTCAAGTTTGAACCCCTTGATTGGGTGAAAGTATTGAAAAGGAATATGCTCAGATATATTTATGAACACAAAAAAATGGATATAAATATAAAGAAATACATTGAGAATTTGCATTCTCCATGTGATGAACATATTAATTCTCTCTTGGTTTATTCAACAGAAAACAACTTCATTCCTGGCTATATGCCACGACGAACATCAAATTATATCTATTGAACACATACGATAAGAATTTGAAAACAAAATCTTCTGAAGTAGAGAATTTGCATTCTTCTTCATATAAAGATATAATTCCAATATCACTGATAAGAATGATTTTTATTTTGGAAGTTCAAAGCCCATCAAGATCAGAGTTTATACAAGTATACTTCTCCTATACATTTCAATACTTACATATATAGGTAAGTTATATTTTTATATCATAATACATCATGTTATTACATCCGATTCGAGAAATAATGTCAATTCTCAATTTCAACAGATATAATGCAATGTTCGACGTGGCAAATAGCCAGGAAAGTAGTTGTTTTCTGTTGAATATTCAGAATGATATTATGTGCATATACATAACTTGATTGAATGAAGGAGAATGCAAATGCTCTACTTCAGAAGATTTTGTTTTCAAATTCTTATCGTGTGTTCAATAGATATAATTCAATATTCGTCGTGGCATATAGGTAGCCAGGAAAGTAGTTGTTTTCTGTTGAAAAGACCGAGAAAGAGTTGATATTTTCATCACATGGAGAATGCGAATTCTCGATCTATGTCTTCATAAATATATCCATTTTTTTATATTCATAATTATATCTGAGAATATCCCGTCTCAATGTCTTCCATACATTATTTTACGTAGATTCCAGTGGCGTAGTCAGATTATCAGCATATAAGCTGTTATAAATTGAAATATAACCCAAAGCAAAGTAGAATTCCTAGCCTCGCTATGCTAGCTATGAACTATCAGCCACGGCAGTCAACCTTACTCTGCTGCCTAGAAAAACAAAATAAATATTGTTTTATAGCCAACGCCAAATATAGTCCATCATTTTGTGTTCACCCAAAGTCATTGTCAATTTCAGTCAAATTATTACTTGGAACGTTGCGTAGCTACACTTTTCCTAGCAGTAGTTTTCCTGCCTGAGCAGTGAATGTACACCTTTTTTGCCTAGACAGTAAAAGTACACCTTTTCTGCCTGATGAGTGTCACTAGATACTACATATTTTAATGTCCTTTGGAGAAAGAATACTTACCACCGTAGTATATTCTACGGAAACATATGTTTGTGTTTGCTGGAAGCCCAGGCTAACATCCCATCGATGGATTTTTGAAACACCCTATGTACACATACACATAGTATACGAGAAGTGTCGATCCGAAAAGTAAGAATAGTCAAAGGAAAAATCAGTTGGAAGAATTAATTGTTTTTACTTCTAACTCCCCTGTATCAGCTTTCATGGTGCCTAAATTTTGTATGTTTGGAGACTGAGAAAGCCCAAAAATTTCAAAATGATTCTAATTGGGGTTATTGAAATCTCAATGAAAGTTTTGAAATCACCTACATTATAATTTGGAGTAAATTCGAATTTTTATTGTTTTCTCAAAAACTAAGCTAGATACAAAAATCACACAGAGAATAAAACAAGTTATTTCAATAGTTCAATAAAAATATGACTCAGAAAAACCGGTGGCGTACTATGACATTCGCCATGAATATCGATAAGTTTACACTGTGACGCCACTGGAAATATAATTTCGATTCTGATTGAACTAAAAGAAGCTCCATATTACTATTAACAAAACCACAACTTTTTATTGAAATTGATGGAAAGACAATTGAGTAATGAATAAAAAAAATATTTTTCATGGAAATATTAATACCCTGTATCTCGAAAACGAAGCAAGTTAGGACACATGTTCATATGAACTTTATTTTTTGAAATATCACAAGGAATCACCCCTCGATTTTCCTGGTGTTATTCAGATACACCCTCTGTATATCCAGGAAAAAAATACTCACATTTTCTCCGTGGGAAAAATGTAATATATGAAGTGACATTTTGTTACCTGTCAACAGAGATGAAATATCTAACTTTTTTCCCGTCACAGAAAATAGTTATTTTTTCTGTGACGGGAAAAAAGTTTGGCATTCCATCTCTGTTGGCAGGTTATAAAATGTCACTTTTCATAAATTACTTTTTTTTTTCGTGGGAAAAAAGTGAGTACTTTTTTTCCGGATATATATCACATACATAAGCACTGTTGGTGGCTTTTGTTGTGCTGTAGTTCCGAAAAATGAGTCAATAATACCGTCTCCGAGAAAGAACTGCAAGTCCTAATATCGTCCATTCGACTTTTCGGTTACGTATATTACTAAACAACCACTAAATTCGCAATTTTTTGAAATCAAATCACAGAATTAGACTGACAGAATTGACATCAGATATTTGATTACTTCAAAAGAATGATAAAGATGCCTACAACGCAGTTGTCCCTACTGTTGAAAACTTAAAATTTCACGTCGATAATTTTCAGATTTCAAAATAATGTAATATCTTCTCAATAGTGATTCGTCCTTTCTTCTGTCACAGAAAAAATAGTGTATTATACAGGGAAAAATATTAGATTTTAGCTCACGGTTTTTTGTCTCCCTCCGCTACGCGTCGGAAGACAACACAACCTGGAGCTAAAATCTACTACTTTTTTCCCTTGTATAATAAATAACTATATTTTCGCTGTTGTAAGTATGCTACTTCAAGACAATTCATATGATTGAAATCCACGTGATTGTGCCTTCCGCAAAGAATTGTCAGAATGCCAGACTTGCTGATTTTGAACTTTGGGTGGAAGAAGAGGTCTTACCCCAAATTTCATTTTGATTCCTCCTAAATGTTTTTCATTGGTGCCATTCGATCGTATATGTGAAGCTTTCTGAAGGTTTGAAATATTTGTATTCATTTCAATGTCACCCTGTAGAAGAATGATATTCACATGTGTCTAAAAGTCGAAAAACCGAACTTTTGTTTGTTTGTTTTTTCCAGATTGTTTGGGATTTTCTCTCCTCATTTCTATAAAATAAAAATATGAATATTATTTCAATATACGTGTAGTAAGGACAACTCAAATGATATGCCTCAAAATGTCACTGCGTTTAAAGAATTTTCCCATCAGGAAGCCTAAAAGAAAAATTCACTAGCTTGCCAGTGACAATTTGTAATGAAACAGGTTTGGAGAAGAGAAATAAAGGTATATTGAAAAAATATCAAATTTTTACTTAGGATTGGACGTTTCGGGAACGCTGCTCCCGTTTTCAACATAAAAATAGTTATTTATTATACAAGGGAAAAAAGTAGTAGATTTTAGCTCCAGGTTGTGTTGTCTCCCGACGCGTAGCGGAGGGAGACAAAAAACCGTGAGCTAAAATCTAATATTTTTCCCGTGTATAATACACTATTTTTTTCTGTGACAGAAGGAAGGACGAATCAATATTGAGAAGATATTACATTATTTCGAAATCTGAAAATTATCGACGTGAAATTTCAAGTTTTTAACAGTAGGGACACCTGCGTTTTATAGGCATCTTTATCATTCTTTTGAAGTAATCAAATATCTGATGTCACTTCTGTCAGTCTAATTCTGTGATTTGATTTTAAAAAATTGCGAATTCAGTAGTTGTTTAGCAATATACGAAACCGCGAAGTCGAATGGAAGATAAAAGGACTTGCAGTTCTTTCTCGGAGACGGTATTATTGACTCATTTTTCGGAACTATAGCACAACAAAAGCCATCAACAGAGTATATATATGTGATATATATCCGGGAAAAAAGTACTCACTTTTTTCCCACGGGAAAAAAGTAATTTATGAAAAGTGACATTTTATAACCTGCCAACAGAGATAAAATGCCAAACTTTTTTCCCGTCACAGAAAAAATGGATTTTTTTGTATCGCAAATTCGTATTTGTCCTGACACTTTTCAGTTCTCAGTGACAATCGTCACTTTTTGTTCCCGAAACGTCCAAATAAGATAAGTAAAAATCCAAATTTTTATTTCTCTTCTTCAAAACTTTTTTAACACAAATTGTCACTGACAAGCTAGTGATTTTTTCTTTTAGGCTCTCTGATAGGAAAATTCTTTAAACGCAGTGACATTTTGGGGCAAATCATCTGATTTGTCCTCACTACACGTATATTGAGATAATATTCATAGTTTTATTTTATAGAAACGAGGAGAGAAAATCCCAAAAAATCTGGAATAATGAAGGGACAAGCAATTCACAAAGTTACTTTGGATAGAGATTGCAAATAGTATAAAAATATAAAAAAAAATGGAACACGGATCAGATAGACAATGGGATTCACGAAAGAAAAAGAAGGATTCTAATATTAAAAAGCATATAATTGAGACAAATAATATCCTACATTATTTGATGAAAAAACTCACAAGATGATTATATTACTAATTACCATTAATATTGAGGTTGACAAAAGAGCCTACACTTACACTACTTGATAAAATATATGAAAAAAATTGGTACAATGGCTTTAAAAGTATCCAGAATAATATGTAGCTGAGTACTTATATATAATATTAAAAAATTAAATGCAATAATCATCCGTTTTTAAAACACTCGGTAGTTATAAAAAATTGGCAGGCCTTTGAAGTGCCTATACTCTTCAACCTGTTGATAGATGTCAGTACTATCATCTTGTCGGGAAGAATTATTCTGAAAATACAGTTTTGTCAAAAAATGTTGCCAATCAATTATTTTTCAAGTGTTACCAAAGATCCAACATTTGACAAAGAGCCACTCGAACTAGGAGTTGCTGTATTTTGAGGTGAACGCTAAAAAAACAAAACGGGAAACTGAGATTAAAAGTCGATACCAAAACGGCGTAAATAAAATTAATGTAGGGTGATTGACTATGGATTTCTCGACTTCAACAGCTGATATCTCGAAAACGAAAAAATATATTTGAAATTTGGAAAGAGGTACTTGAATGAGATGTCATTTCCTTCTAGAAAATGTGATCTCTGCTTGATTTTATCATTTCATATACAGGGTTTGTGAAAACAATTTTTTTTTTCAAATGGAACCCCCTGTATATTATCGCATATTTCGAACGAGCTATCTTTTCTGATTTCAAAGATATATACTTTCTATATATTCTATCGAGGGCTTGACGATATATCAGCAAAATTAAATATTAATATTTGGTCCAAGTTAGCTATGGTTGAAATAGAATGAGATGATGAATAAGTGAATTGACATTTGGTCAACATTTCAGTGACATAAGTGCGCAAAATTTCGACAATTTTTTCACGATGCCATATCCACTGGAACAAAAAAGAGATATTTTGGAGTGCTATTTTTCAGTTAATAAAAATCTTGCTGAAACACTTACACTTATACTTACTTATATTTAATCTTTTAGATATGACAAGACAAAATTCAATCCGCTTCTCATTATCATCATAATTGAGTTTGTGGCGTGGTCTAATTCTGAAATCCCTATATTTATATTTCTTTAAGGTATGTTGAACAAAATAATAGCTGAAACCAAACTCTCTCACTGCATTTCTTATTGACCGTGAAGGATCCTCAACAAAACACTGGATTACAAGAAGTTCCTTGTCTTCGTTGTCTTGCCTTCTCACTATTGGCAAGGTGACAATTCCGATACGGCACCTGGTGGGCAAATTTGAACCAGTTTAGGACGTAATTCAAGGTCATGTTTGTTATTGTGTTCAGTGGGTTTCATATTTTATGAATACCATTCAACAAATTACGTTAATTTTCTCTTCTTGCTTCTCTTGAGTACAAGACATGAACTTTATATCAATTGCCTAATCAATTCTATATTATTTTATAAATTAGTATCAACAAATCTCTGATAACACGCAAAATCAACTGTTTGGTCGCTGGTTGAACTAGTAGAAGGTTCCAATGGAAAAATGTAGGACCTATATCACCTATAATGTCCTCTAATATGAATTTCCTGCACTCAAGAAGTCTTTTCTGATAAGGAAAAATCAGTTCAGTCGAATGGAAAAAATGGATGAACGTTGAGAATCCAAATGAGTTTGAAAAGTGGATGTATGCAGCTCTAACATAAACTTCCTACCTTTCTTCACTTCATTGGTTCAATAATGATAACAATAAGGTAAATTTGTGATTGATATATTTATTACTGATGAATAATGAATAACTCTTATTTGCAGTGCCTGCCTATCTGAGAGAGAACATGATTGAAATTATCAACAGTTCATACCTATTTTGTTTATGGGGAAATGTCTCCAGGAATTGGAAAAATAAGTATGGTTGTATTTCTTTCAAATATTTTCATAAGAAAAATAAAGAAGCAAATTCAATGCCTTTGACTTTTGAACTGCAATACACAAAGCTGGGCAAGAAAATAGACATGAACATGTGCAGGTGGGTAATTTATGGTTTTATTTGTAATGCTTGACTCATATAAAAATCTTGTTCATGACATCCTGCCTAGGCCTCCATAGATTCTTATTTTGTACTATCATCTTTGTAGTAAAATTGCCAATGCAGATTGCATGTACTTCCAAAATGATTAAGTTAAATTACAGCTCCCAATTACATTCATATGAGCAAAAACAGTAGCATATTCTATAGATATATAATAACCCTGGTACAAGCAGGTCATTGTAGGTAGCTTACTTCATAGCTTGAATTGAATCTTTGAACATACATTGAAGTGACACAATCTATTTCTATTTGAATATTTAGATGGTGTAATAGCTAATAGATATAGTTTGTTTATAGTAGGTACTAACATGTCTTAAATTTTTCAGCAGGGGAGGAGTTGCCATCCAGGGTATCTTGCAATTGAGTGCAAATAGTTACACAAATTGAAACCAAAACCCAGATTCCTTGAAGTTGAATTCAAGTTTTTAAGGAGATATCACTGATTATTTGGGTACTTGAACATATCCATGACATTTCAAACTGTATCTTGGAATAATGTATTCATAATTTTACTGCTTGTATGTTATTATTAAACTGTATTTATTCATAAGTAAAAGTTCTACTTTTTTTTCTTTCTGTAATGTTTTATTGTAGGTTTTCAAAATTCATATTTCAATTCCACAACTACCTGAATCAATACCTCATTCTTTTTTTATGCAATTTCAAAGTTTCACTTTATAATCTTTACTGATTCCTTTTAAAATAGGTACCTACCAGGCAGATACTTACTTTTGCTCATTGTTAATTTATTTCTACATATATGAAAGTCCTGGATTTCAAATTCATTTTTAATTGTAAATTTTTATGAAGGTATCTTGTAAAATAATTCAGGGAAAAACAGTATATATGAGCACTAAGGGAAGGAGTATACTGGAAGATCCTTCTATTTGTAGGTACTTCTTTCTTGACTTCTTTGGAGTGGCATAAGTACAGTAAAACACATGTTATGACAATGTTCTTTCATTTTCGAAAATTATTATTAATTCAGTTCCAAAATATACAAAACATAATGAACTATATACAGATTGATAAGATAGATATTTTCAATTAGATGAATTTAGGATTACAAAATGATATCAAATCACAAAATCTAGGATAATATACTGTGTAAATACATTAACTGAAATCCTAGGTCATTTGATCAATGTTTTATTTATGTGGTGGAATTCCAAATTATTCAATGATTTCATCAATATGGTAAAAAAAACTAGCTTTACAAGATATCGAATGAATTCCAAGAAGAAAACTCAGTCTAGGATGCCACCTACCTCAACTCTAAGTATATTAGGAATATTCACATTATGAAAAGTGTGTTATATGGATACAATTCACACACATGGCACATAGGATCATGACAATTTGCTGTTATTGCAGTGGAGAACCATAATATATGAGGTATGGGAGTTGCACTGTAAACAATCCTCAAAGCCTGGAAGTAATATTGTTGAAGATAGGCCATTGATAGTTGTATCAACTATTAAATCCACAGCTGTGTCCACAGTAATATCAGGATGCCTTTGGTGTTGAATTATTACTTGGTTTAGACTCATTAGAGCTGGTTGCTCATTGCTTGCTAGGTTAACACATTGTTCAGGGATGGTTTTCAATATGTTCACAGAAGGCTGTTCACTGTTGAAAAACTTCACTGCTGGTATCACCATTTGTGGTCTGTAGGACCCTTTAGCTAGAAGAGTGGAGCTATGATGGTGAATATATCAGCTTCTGATGATAGTGGATATGCTTGTGATTTTTGATATCCCATAAAGCTGTCCCACAGAAATGCACTGGTTTGAAGAAAGCTCAGACTATTTGGTCCACGATTCAGTCAGTAGGTAACAGTTATTTTCCTCACATCACGATGAAACAGTATCATCCAACAAAAAATATTATTTTTTCAGTAAAAAGTTCAACAAAAAACACAAATAACACGATGAAATATCAAGAAGAAAATGTATGGAAATCTCAAGAAATTTTGTAAACAAACTACACACTCTTTGCCGCCATCTTGTTATACGACGCTATACATAGTGGAGTATACTACGGCCGTGCCAAAAATGCTATCTCGGAAACTAAGCGAGATAGAGGTATAGTTGCTTTGGAGAAAATGATCCCCATCGAATTTTGAGCAACTTTGGTTTTTGTGTGTGGTCTGTCTGTCTGTCTGTCTGTACTCTGTGTTAATCATAAATCGATATATCTCCGGAACCCTTTGACATATCGACTCGAAATTTTGCCATCTTATTGTACTCAAAACAATATTATGTCATTAAAATATGAAGGAAATCGGAAAACTCTAAGGTGGTTTTTCCGGGTTTTTCCGATTTTTCACCGGAAGTTCCTTGTAATCACTCTACAAATCGCAAAAGTGGTCCGATCGATTTCATTTTTTGTGAAGAAAACCTCTATCAGGAAGAGACGAAGCCTATTGAAATTGAGCAGGGTCGGAAAATTCCAAGTGGGTGTTTCAAGGAGATTTTCCGAAAAACACGGTTCGCTTTAAAACGACATATCTCGTGAACAAATAGACTAAATCCAAATTTGAGAAATGCACCGTATGCCTCTTTGATGACGCAACAAATTATCATTCAATCATTTTTTCGTGCATCCATCGGAAACTGGAAAAACAAATGAAAACCCAAACATCAAAATTTGAAATCCTTTTAATTCAATATATATCGAAAACAAATGGAAAAATCGAAAATTATCAAGAGTGCAATGTTATCCACTGGAACATTCCCTACAAATCATTTTCCATAATTTTTTCTGTAAACCCAATAGTACAGGAAATAAAGTGAAAAATATGAAAAAAAAAAATTTTAACGACCCATAGGGTACTATGAAGATATATTGAAAAACATAGATTATCGATAGATGAAGCTCATCTACCTCCACTGAGGCATGGAATATTTTTTCATTTTGTTGATTGGAAGATGGAAAAAAAGTGTTGAAAATTTTATTCTCAGATAATTCCAAATATCTCGAAAACAACTGAAAATATCTGAAAATGTTATAGAACCAAAATTATTCCTTTTGATAAAATCCACAAAAAATCCTCATAACATTTTTCTCTGAATTCAATAGTTCGGGAGATACGATGAAAAAACTAAAGAATTTACAAGTTCCTAGATAATCACTTACCAATGGAAAACGAAACAAAAAACCAAAGAAAGTAAACAAAGCACACTCGACTGTCTTGATTTTTCTCCCATAAACTACGTACCTAGCTCACTCTACTGTCTTTATTTTTGCCAATAAACTAAGTACGGGCTAAGTACGTAGTTTGTACGAAAAATCTCCAGTTCTCTGAACTTTCATAGCGTCGTATACACATCATTGGTGCCCAATGATAGTTTCAATATAAAAATATGCTCATGATATGGTGCCATGGCCTCTACTTCCATCTTACATGAGCAATGATAAAATAACATCTGCTTTTATAGCGTCGTATAAATTATCTGACCTCTATACTAATCTAATACCTAATAAAAACCACATCTATACTAATCTGATACCTTTCAAAAACTACGTACCCCACTTGTTTTGAAACAGCGCCCCCAACGGTCGATCACCTTGCCAATTCTCTTGATATTCGACAAACTGGAAGTTCTGTCAAATTAAGCAGTCAAATACTTTACAGAATTCTTACTTGGTAATCTCCTGCCTGGATAACTCCTCATAAACTTATGAAGTGTTTCAGCAAGATTTTTATTAACTGAAAAATAGCACTCCAAAATATCTCTTCTTTGTTCCAGTGGATATGGCATCGTGAAAAAATTGTCGAAATTTTGTGCACTTATGTCACTGAAATGTTGACCAAATGTCAATTCACTTATTCATCATCTCATTTTATTTCAACCATAGCTAACTTGGACCAAATATTAATATTTAATTTTGCTGATATTTCGTCAAGCCCTCGATTGAGATAGCTCTTTCGAAATATGCGATAATATACAGCGGGTTCCATTTGAAAAAAATTTTTTTTTTCACATACCCTGTATATGAACTGATAAAATCAAGCAGAGAACACATTTTCCAGAAGGAAATGACATCTCATTCAAGTAACTTTTTCCAAATTTTAAATATCTTTTTTCGTTTTCGAGATATCAGCTGTTGAAGTCGAGAAATCCATAGTCAATCACCCTGAGGGTGGCCAGCTAAGACTCCAGAGTTCGATCTGTTGTCTTGAGAGATACAAAAAAAATTCATGGATCAAAATTGAAGTAATAACCGAGCTTCACATTTCAAAATTTCTTTGAAATACACAGGGTGTTCCGTAAGGTCACAGCACATCGAAGCTATGTTTTTTTCATTGGAACTCCCTATATTTTATTTCATTTTTGAATTCTCCCTGAAGATCTGATTTCAATGATGTATCATACTTAGGGTCTAGCAGTGAAAGTTACTGACATATATAGGGTGAGCAAAATCGAGATTTTCCAAGTTCAGGATTTTTTTCTGTCGAAACTGTTCATTATTCGTCAAAACGGTTTACATGTCCCTATCTCAACTTTTTACTCACTATCAATTGGTGTTCAATCGAAATTGATACAAGGTAGTCAAAAATCTAAATTTATAATTTGTTTCAATTAAATGTCTTTTTTAGAGTGATCAGAATGATGAATCTTGAACCACCCTGTATTTGTTCCAATAAAATGTCAGTAGATAGTAAATCAAAAGTTGGGATAGAGACATGAAAGCCGTTTTGACCAATAATGAATAGTTTCGACGCAAAAAAATCCTAAAGTTGAAAAATCTCGATTTTGAACACCCTATATCTCTGTAATCATTCTCGCTAGAATGTGTCATGCATTGATGAAATCATCTCACAAAGGAGAATGCGAAAATGCAATGAAATACAGGGTGTCCCATAAGAAAAAGTATAACTTTGATACGCCACGCATTTCTGTGTCACCCTGTATAAAGCGAAATAATTTGGAAATGTGCTGCTCATGATCCTAGATCATCTCTGGAACTTTTGTCTATCTATCTCGAACTGTAGAGCCGTTATCTCACTTTGTCACACTGATGACTCTCTCTGTATATACATGGTGATCCACGGTGGATGGCCTATTAGAAATATCTGGAGAACGAAAACACCGAACATTCAGAAAATTCATTCGGAACAGATACAGGGTGATCAGAATTCTGAATCTTGAAGCACCCTGTATTTTTTCCAATCAAATTCCAGTAGATAGTGAATCAAAAGTTGAGATAGGGACATGTGAGCCGTTTTGATCGATAATGAATAATTTCGACACAAAAAAATCCTTAAAATTGAAAAATCTCGATTTTGAACACCCTATATCTCTGTAATCATTCCTGCTAGACCCCAAGTGTGATACATCGATGGAATCAGTTCTTCAGGAAGAATCCAAAAATGCAATAAAATACAGGGTGTTCTATTTGAAATAACAAAGTTGCTAGTTGTTTCTGATAGAAGTGGCAACACTGTATCGATGAAAATATTTCAGACGGGTTGAGAATATTCAATTATCAAAGCATCCCAATTTTCAGAATGTTCTGTCTTTTCGCTCTCCAGATACTTTTAATAGGCCATCCACCGTGGATCACCCTGTATAAAACTAGCCGACCCCGCAAACATTGTTTTGCTATACTTATTACACATTATTCCTAGATAATATTTTTTCAGTTGAATAGTCATAAACGCACTATTATAATTACAAAAGTCGTCTGCCATATTGGATCCGCCATCTCAAATTTCCAAATTCCGATCGAATTTCCAAATTTTGAGAGAATCATAATGCCCACCCCAAAAATCTCTAGATACCAATTTTGAATGGAAACGAATCATAAAAACAAAACTCGTCCGCCATATTGGATCCACCATCTTGAATTTCCCCATTTTCACGAAAGATCAATACTATCCGAAAATATCATATTGTGAATAAATGAAAAGACAACACAAGTCAACCGCGTCGTCCATCCTATTATTCACTTTTCGTTCAGAACAAAAATTGGAAATTTTAAAAACGAGTTGCCAAAATTCACTCACTACCCACCTCCCCGGAAAACCTCAACCCCACTTACCGACTCGCCCCCCCTAGGGCCTGATTCGCCCCCCTCAGAGCTGCCGGTGCCCCCCAAATTCCTGCGGGCACTCGTGCTTGCACCATCGTAGGTGCCGGTACCATCGTGGTTGCTGGTACCATCGATGGTACCGTTCAGAACCTTGAGGCGCTGGTGCACCAGCCGTCTGATGTTCGGCGGTACCGATCTGTAGGTAGGAGAGAGACTGAGGGAGAGTTTAAAAGAATTTCGACTAAAGGGTGACACAGGGTGTCTAAAGAGTTTGGAAGGAAAAAAATGCGAGAATATAACGAGGGGTTTGCCTCTTGAATTTTTTGCATCTTTCAACCAGATTCTTTTTTTTTTGTCTCTGGCAACTGATGAAAACTATGGAAGAATTTAGTTGTTTATGTACGGGGTGATTGTTTATATTTTACTCAATAGCAATCTCAGATACGTTCGAATGGGTAAAAAGTAAAAAAGTATTTTTTTTTGGGCATCCAGAATGTAGTACTAGAAAATGCAAAAAAGCATCATAAACCTCAAAATTTTACATTAACTAGTATTTTTCAAATGGAACACCCAGTGAATTTAGGTCTTATGATTTGATAAAAAAAAAAGATTGAAAATATGCCTCCTTGAAAAATGACAAAAGAGAAGTGCACAAAAAACGGCCAGGATTGTAACTTTTGAATTACTCTAGATACGGTTTTGAAAATTGGTGGGAAGCAAGTATACCAAATTGCTCATTAATTGATGAAACAATTTTCCTTCTATCACTTTCAGTTTCACCGGAAACGACCCCAACTTTCGATTTTTAAATGGGACACCCTGTATTGTATTCCATAATCGGTTAGGGATTATCATGACGAATTCAACGATACCGGGTTTGATAGGGTTATTTCGAACGATTACAAAGATATTTGCGTTCGAAGTTTCCGTATGCTCAATGGGTGTGATTTCCCAATCTCAAAACTTCTTTCTCTGTCACACTCATTGGGCATATGGAAACTTAGAACGCGAATATCTGCGTAATTGTTTGAAATAACCCTATCAAACCCGGTATCGATGAATTCGTTATGACAATTCCTAACCGATTATGGAACACAATACAGGGTGTCCCATTTGAAAATCAAAAGTTGGGGTCGTTTCTGGTGAAACCGGAAGTGATAGAACAAAAATTGTTTCGTCAATTAATGAGCAATTTGGTATACTAGCTGCCCACCAATTTTCAAAACCCTATCTCGAATAATTCAAAAGTTACAGTCCTGTCTGTTTTTTGTGCACTTCTCTGTATATACAGGGTGATTCACGTTTTAAGGCACAAACTGAAATGGGAGATACATCTTATCATTTTGATCAAAAAAGTTCATATAAACATAAGTCCGATCTCGTTTATTAGCGGAGCTACACAGGGGGTCAAAGTTTAATTATTTTTTTCTATCAATTGAAATATCTCGCTTACTTTTCAAGATATCGTTTTGAAATTTGGTGTGGTCAATACTTTCTAGAAGATCACCATTTAAAGCCATTTAAAGATTTTTAAAATCTACAGGGAGATACGTTTTTGGGGGGTAGAGGCTTCTTTATCCCCCCCCAAACTTTTTCGTAATACGCCCCTGGCATCTTTTAGTGATCACATTTTGTGGTTCGTTCAATTTACAGGCTTTTTCGCTCTTCCCTTTTTTTCGAGAAACAAACCGGTTTTGAGATGAATAAGCATATAAGTACGTTCTAAAACATGTTAATTTTGCCTATGTTTCATTTTCGTTGAAAATGCAATGAAATATACTCACTAAAATTGCAATCACGAGTCCAATCTGAATCAGTATTGGGGATACAGATGGTAAAAAATCAAGGTTTTTTTTTCAGCTGAATAAAATTTAAGTGAAACAGGCAAAATTAACATGTTTTAGAACGTATATGCTTATTTATCTCAAAAACGGTTCGTTTCTCGAGAAAACTTGAAGTGCAAAAAAAGCCTCTGAATTGGACGATCCACATAATTTGATCACTGAAAGATGCCAGAGGCGTATTACGGAAAAGTTTGGGGGGAATAAGGAAGCGTCTACCCCTATAAACGTATCACCCTGTAAATTTTGAAAATCTTTAGATGGCTTGAAATGATCATCTTCTAGGAAGTATTGACCACACCTAATTTCAAAATGATATCTTGACAAGTAAGCGAGATATTTCAACTAATAGAAGAAAATAATTCAGCTTTGACACCCTGTGGCTCCGCTATTAAACGAGATCGGACATAGTATTTATAAACTTTTTTGATTAAAATGATGAGATCTATCTTCCATTTCAGTTTGTGCCTTGAAACCTGAATCACCCTGTATATTTATTCGTAGCAGGACACGAGTTTAGATGATAGATTAATATTGTTTTTTTTTCTCTCATTATAAATATATTATAATATTATCCCTTCTTTGAGAATCCTCATTTATGTTTTGATAATTTATTATATGTATGCTTACATGTAATTTATGATTGAAGAAGAATATCACTATCATCAAGAATCTCCATTTATGTTTTTGATATTGTGTCTGATATTACTTTTTTGGGTAAAACTGCATTTAGCATGCGATGGGTTTTTTCGAAAACTTTTCTTGGTACTTACGTATTTTTGTCTGAAAAAAACGAATTTGACAATGATAATGTGAACAAACCATTATTTATCGAGATATTTCGAAAAAAAGTTCGAAATTTCGACTCCTTTTTCCCCTTGTGTTGGGTGCATTTACAGGTACTTGCTCTTCTTATTTTGTCATTGGACACTTTATATACTCATGATGTACTTCAATGACACATTTTTGTACAGAAAATTCAACAGGAAATATGATTTTTATGGCGAGTTTTTCATATTTCCTACCAGATGACGGCCATTTAATTAATAGTCAATCCAAATACGAGATGTCAAATGTCAACAGAGTGCTTTTGAATGACATGACATTACACACGCCATTATTTTAAATGATATTCTTCCTTCTTTTCACTAAATATGGATAAATCACAAGTAAATCATATTTCTAGTTGACTCAATAATAGAAAAAAATGTGTCTTACATTGTGATATATATATAAATTGTCCAATGATGAAAAAAGAAGTAAATTGTTTTAAATGCAATCCAGAAGACAGGCGGAAAAACAGGTGAAATTTGTAACTTTATAGTGAAATATCTTGATAAATAATGGTTTGTTCACATTTTCATTGTCAAATTCGTGTTTTTCAGACAAAAATACGTAGGTAAGTAACAAAAACATTTTTATGAAAAAAAAACCCATCGCATGCTAAATGCAGTTTTACCCTTTTTTGATATCATGTTTTCTATAATTTATTACACCTATGTGAAGGTACCTCATCATCCACTATTTGAAATTTGTAATTGATGTTGTAAAGGCTGAGTTGAAAAACCTCTTTCTTCTGAATTCAAATATACAGGGTGAGTCATAACTATTGGGAAAGCGGCTGAGAGCTGATTTTTCGGACCAAATTATTGCCATAGGACCAAATATGCCTTACTAAAATATTGCTGTGGAAAAAGATACAGGGCGTTTTAATCGAAAAAGTATTGAATACAAACTCGCACCAAAATTCATTCCCTGACAAGATATGTAATTTACCGGTAACAATTATCTGACAGTCCAGAGCACACTCTTGATTAAATAATATTTGAAATTCCCTTCCGAGACTGAACTGTTAAATCGCGCTTTTCTCGAAAACGGAAGAAAATATCGTGTTTGATTGTTTCAATATTACATAGTAATGATGTTTATGTTAAATTTCCTGATCAAAATGACTAAAAAGTTTCGTCATAAAAAATTGTAACAAACTTTAGAATACTACATAAAATAATATTCCCTGCATACAATTTTACCTCTGTGCCGTCATTTGATAGCAATTGATGAATATACAGTAGAATTATTATCAAAAAACGACAAAAAGAGTTCAACTTCAATGCCCTGTAACTTTTTCCACAGCATTATTTTATTGAGGCATATTCATTCTTATCACCATATTTTGTTCCAAACAATCCTTCCTTCGTCTATGTCCCAATAGTTATGACCCACCCTGTATATCGGGTGGTCACAAAAAACCGGAAGTTTTTATTTTCCTCGTGGTTTCATCATTTTTCAACCGAATTTGAATTCCTTGACGTCATTTTGTAGCTAAAGGGCTATAGTACACACTCAGTATACAGTGGAATATTTGAAAATTCTATAATTGAACAAACAAAATGGTGGAGTATCTCAAACATTTGGGATTTACAAAAAACCACTGGCAAATAAGAAGATTAGAATTTTTTCAACCTGTACAACAGATGTTATTTTAGAATTTAGACCATTCATTTCTGGAGAGAATGAGTACTGGAATATCTTCGGATTTATCAAAGCCATTTCAAAGATAAAAAGCTGTATTACACAGTAAAACATTTGAAAATTTCTTAAATGAATAAAACAAAATGGTGGATTATCTCAAACATCGTGATTTACAAAAACCGTTAATTCTAAAAATGTTAATTCTTTCATTCAGAGCCGATGCAATTCTAGATCATTAATTTCTAAAAAAAATGAGCACTGGAACATCTGAATGGAACAAATAGTTCAGGAGATACACAAAACAATATTTTGATGAAGATTTTGATCTATCTATTTAGTTTTAGTACAATGAAAACCATTATGAAAAAATATACCTATGAGGTTTTTGTACTGCATCTATTTTTTTTTTCTTTTTTTTTTAGATAGATAGATAGATTTATTCATGTTACTACACACTAGTGTTTATACATACATCAATAAATAAATAAAATAAAATAAATATAATGACATATAGTTAAAATCAGATAAAATTAGATAAAATAGATCAGTATGAGCTACCTCTATGAAGGTACCCGTAATTTTAACAATAAAATAATTAGGTGAATACATTAACATTCATAAAATCAGAATGAAGAACCAAGTTTGATAAAAAATATTGGTACTCACGTGCAGAAATTTTCAGGTGGGTTAATCAGTCTATTTTTTTTGCTGTATCTTCTTGGCCTAGCCCATTCAACTCCAACTTGGAAATTTGCAATAATCAAATCTGGAAAAAATAGAACCATAAAAATTACAACAAACATAGACAAAAGAGAATACAGGGTGACCTGTATAGTCATGAAATAAATATGAAACAAAGTTAAAGCCGACATCATTATCAAGTAAAATTATTGATTCTGGGATAAATTATCATCACTCACTTTTCAATTTTGCCATAGCAAACTCTGCAGATCGCCGGCTCACGAAATGGATGAATGCAAAGTTGGCAATCTTATGGACTTTCTTCACAATTCGGTTCCCCACGAGATTTACAATACAATTCTGAATTTCCTCTGTTGAATAATGAATTGGGAGGTTTCTCAAATATAAAATAGTTACCTAAAACAAAAAAACATGAAACTTGAAACAGAACAGATCTATTTCAGAGGACGCCGATACCAGTGGCGTACGTGTTTTTTTTTGAATTGCTAATGTATGGATTCTGGATTTTTCAGCCTCTGAATGTGATATAGATATAATGTGGATGCCGCTCAGCTCCAATATACACCTTTCCTCCCTCTACATTAAAAAAAAATCGTGAAAATTGCTCCATAAATAAAAAATTTATGACGGTGGCCGGCTTTCAAATGGGTCACTCTGTATATCAAGAGATCAAAATAGGAAGGCCTCTGAATGTGACCTAGTAGGCCTCGGTTTTTAAAAAAATGGACGGCTGTTACACAGCCGTCTTCAAAGATGGCTGTGGCTGTTAGTTTCCACAGCTTTTCTCCCTCTACAATATAAAAAGAAAGTGAATAGGCTGACGACCAGTCGGCAAACTAGACTGCCTACCATTCAGTGGGATTCTTTCTGATAAACAGAAGATCCAAGATGGTTAGTTGTTATTTAGTGGTTAGAATAGACATTGGCTTGTCACTCCTGTTGTCCAGTGTTCAAATCCCAAATGGGATAGTTTTTTTGTTAAATGTTTTCTTGCAATCAATTTCATTTTCATCAAATTTTTGTTTCACTAATTGGTTAGTCTGTTTAGGTTGAGTATGTATATATAACTTTCTTTCAATATTAAATTTTTTCCTGATCTAGTTTTTCCTTCCTCCATTGTTAGTTCACAAAATTTTTTTGATCAGGGTTTTTTCCACCAATAGGTTAGTGTAAGAATATCTCATTCTTTTCTTCTGTTTTCCCTGTATAATACACTATTTTTTTCTGTGGAAGGAAAAAGGAGGAATCAATATTGAGAAGATATTACATTATATTAAAATCAGAAAATTATCAACATGAAATTTCAACAGGAATTACACCTGCCTTGCAGGCATCTTTTTGCAGGCATCTTTATAATTTTTTTGAAGTAATCAAATATCTGTCAATCTAATTCTGTGATTTCATTTTCAAAAGTCACCAGTTTAGTGTTTGTTTAGTAATTTACATGACCAAAGGTGAAGGGAAGATGAGAGGACTTGCAGTTCTTTCTGGGAAACTGTTATTGACTTATTTCTCAGAACTATAACACAACAAAAGCCATCAACAGTGCATATATACAATATATGTGATATATATACAGGGAAAAAATACTCACTTCTGTCCCAGAGAAAATAGTAATTTATGATAAGTGACCTAACCTAACCTGTCAACAGATATAAAATTTCAAACTTCTTTCCCATCACAAAAATAATAAGGGAGAGAGGCCCTATATTAAGTTCATTGGTTTAAGGATAAATCAAAGAGGAATATATTCTGATTTTAAGGCAGATTCATGCAACATTCATTATAATTACATTTTCACTACATTATAATTACATTTTCTCTAGCTGTGAGGTACCAGTTCATGCAACATATGCTCATGATGAACTAATTATTCAGAGTTATGTGATTTGGTTGAATTTTTCAAATGTTTACAGCTTATTTAAGAATATGCATTTATTTTGATTATAATATCTGAGTTGAATCATATTGATCATAAATAGTTTTATGGAGAAAATATCATTCAATGATCATATCTTGCAATTCAGTCATTTCCACTAGAACTATAATGTAATGGTAATAATTATGGTGAATAGTTAAGAGTTGGCCAACTTCTTAGTGCACTAATGACTGATGAAAATGTGTTAATGTGTTGCATGAAGGCATTCTATGAAATATGAGCTCACAACATTCTCAATTTATAATATAATAAAAATGTAATTATAATGAACAAATGAACCTTGCATGAATCGACGTCAGCCTTGATTTAGACATGGCCAACTTACACTGAAGCCACTCCCTCTTCCTCCAATGAGCAACAGACACCGCCTCCATGGTCTCGAATCCCAGCACCTGGTCCTGGTGCACAATAACAAACAATAAAACACTCACCTTAGCCATCACCTGGGGGTCTATATCCGGCACCGGGTCCGCCCAATCCACGTAGAGAGGCTGGTCCCACAATATCAGATTATCCGGCGTGAACTGCCTGCGAGCCATGGCCGCCATTCGATGGTTCTCGAACTCCACGAAGACAAACCCCCTGTTAAGCTTGGGGTTGTCGTAATGGGGGTACATGATGACGTCCACCACCCCCTCGGTGTAATGGCAGAGCATGTCGAACACTTCCCGTCTGGTCTTATCGGCTGGTACGTTGCCGATGAAAAGCCGGCAATTATCCACCGATTTGAAGACTCCGATGAAGTTGTTGGGGCGGATTTCGTAGTTGTTGAGTACGCTTACCGCTCTAGAAGCGTCTTCGCTGTTGAAGTAGGTTGCGAAGGCGTAGCCCCTCGTCTTTTCCATGAAATCGAGCATCAAACGGAACTTGTACAAAGGGCCGATTTTTTCAAAAAGAGGCACTAATTCGTCTTCGAAGGTATTCTTGTGCAACTTTCCGATAAAGACTTCACACCCTTTGGGGACGGGGTCGATTTTTCTCGAGGCTGGCGGTGCATAGACTCTTTGGCCGTTCGTCTGGATTATTTCGTAGCCATTTTTTTTCGTCAAATTCGCCAGTTTCCTGGCCAACTCCGATCTTTCACGGTTAATTGTAAACGTTTCGGAAAGTTCTAATTCGTTAAGGATAACCATTTTACCGAATAATTCTATTAATATACAAATTGATATGATTATAATTATTATTATGTGATCTGTATAAGGAAAGATACTTAATATAAATGAGTAAGTGAGCCGAGCACTGTGCAAATAAAAATGAACATTCGGTTCGGTCTTTCGGTTTTGTCGTTACGGGACGGTTGGTGGAACTAGGTATCCCTTCCTTGATGATGATGTCATGCTAGACGAGGGAATTTTTGTTATTGGGCGATCTTGAGAACTGGAATTTTTATTCGAGCGCGAAAGCGAAACCTACCCAGCTTAGCAACAGTCCGAAGGGCAAATGACAGCGCCGTTGCGCCGGTCAATTCCAAGAAAAATTACCGCATATTTTAGAAAACTGAAAATAAATGAGTAATCGACCACTCCAAGCAGCCACGCCACAGCCACCCTACCACATATGCAACACACTACACAGGGTGTTTGTGTTATTGTGTTTCTGGTTTGACAGTTTGTACAAGCGTTGAACTAGTTGAAAACATTTTCCTCATGTTGAAGTTGAAGCGATTATCTTGAAGATTGTTACCAAGGAAAAGGATTGTTTATTCATATCCGATATTAATTGAGAATTAAATGTGAAATATTTTTTGATTAAAGATCAAAATGATGTTAAAATGTGATTTTGGGTCACCACAATTCATGGATCCAATAAAACATCCCAAAATATCACCAAACTCCACTTGACCAATAACAAATCCAATCTTCATGTTCTGTTATTGTTCTGTCTTAGTTGTTAAGTTGAAATTTGGTCTACTTTGTAATTGGTGGTTTCATGCATTATCATTACATTATTACTACATCAAAGAGCATTGACTATGTTCATAAATACCTATATACACTGAGCAACTAACAAGTTGGGCTCATCTAATCTTTTATACCTAATTATAACGAAATGATAATGTAATTATATTGAATGTTTTATGAAACCGCCTTCAGGTATGGAGTTATGTCAGTTTATACCAATCTCATCACGCCATTGATGACAATTTCATTATTTGTAGGTATTCTTTATTCTGTTTTATTTGCTGTACCCATAATCTCACCTTTAGTTAATGATCGCGTTTTTATTGGTTTTGGTGTTGTTTACTTCCTACAGAACATTTTACAATTAATCTGGATTACATATGTTCTCAATGATTCATCACAATTAGATATATTCCTACGGCATATTTCTTTCAATCATTTCATATTCGCATAATATCTGGAAAACTCTGCCTTGATGTTGGTAGGGCCATCTATTAGTGCTTCTGAATACTAACAAACACATCATTCTCCAGTGATTCTTTGGAGGACTCTCTTTAACTATTCTTCATTCATCTAGTATCCTTGATTACATACAGAATACTCAATGTTATTATTCTCATACATCTTAATTATTCCTTGATTATTCAGAATTTTGGAGATATTCAGGTGATTATTTTACAGAATTTGAATCACAATTTCAGTATTACCATTCTTACGGAAATCTGTTTCCTTCAAATGTTCGCTGCATGATATTACTTGATAGATGGCAGCACGTCCTGGAATTCTATTGATTTTCCCTTAGATCATTAAGACGGGCGTCCACATTTTAACGCTGACCTTCTCGCAAGATGTCACTACGGTGAAGAAATCATAAATTAATTACGCCATCTTGAAAATTCAATGCAGAGCTCGTCAAGTTTTCGAAGCCTAATATCAGTACAGAAATCTGTATCGATCTAGTACAATTCAAATCGACTGCCGATTGAACCACCTAGGGCGCTCAGGGCACGAAACATTATGACGGATGACGGCTGACAGAACATTTACTTACAATTCCAGCCGATAGATGGATAAATGATGAATCATATTATTTTCAACATAGTTCTCATTCGTTGATTGATATATTACGCTTACGCTGGGAAGATGCCCAACCTGTGGTATATTTTCGAGTCGATGCCCCGCTCATCCCCTCGTCTATCGTTTAGCCACTGTGAGGTAGCAACTCCACTAGGCACACAGAACATGTCTGAACTAATTGTACAGATTACTACACTTTTTTCAGCTTTTGTACAGAATTACAGATCCCATCCCACCGCGTGCTATCGCTCCAGAAATGTTTGTTTATCCTTGTCTTCTACGATGAGATGAGACCCGACCCGCCCGACCGGTTCCGATAAAAAAATGTTTGCTACGGTCGGTGAATCCCATGGACGTATATGGTGAATCCGCCATCCGCAACCAAAACAATAACAACGAGATGCGAGTATTGATTTTTCCCTCGGTTCCTTGCGGAAGAGAGAAGAACATATTATGATCTCTCACTCAGTTGGGTTCTTACTCCGTGGCTTTTTTTAAATTCCCTTGTGAATAACTTGTCATACTTTGCCTAGACCAATATAATATATGTATATCTGGAAAAACATCTCACGCCTTTTTCGTTGATTATTTTTTTCACTCAATTTGTATCCATATTCCATATTGAAGTTTTGTATTTTTAAGACATTACCAAATATTGATAATATAATCAATCTGAATATGATAATTTCTTATTAGAGTCTCATCAGTAGATAGAAAATAAATAGTCAGATATCTTTGAATCTTTGATTGTTAATGGTTCACTATAAAAATGAAATAAAATACATCATCTATAATAGGCATAATATACAGATAGTGAGTCATAACTATTGAAACATATACAGTGTGTCCCACTTACCATGCTCACCATGGGTAAAAATATTTTGATAAAATCTATTCGTTTTTGTTTTATACGCAAATAACAGATTTTTATCATTTTCATGCCTCCTCCGTAACTTGTTTATTTATGAAAATATACAAATAGGAATTTCACATTCTCATGGCAGTTTTTCAAAGTGATTTAGAAAAAAATATGAAATTTATGCCAACTCTTCTAGAATTTGAGATATCAGCACCAACTTTAGTTTTTCAAATGTAGGTCATAGCTCACTATGACTTAGTTACAAATAACTTTTTTTTCCCTCACAGATGATATGTCGCAGTAATAGTTTTGTGTTGATAACAACGGAGTTGTCGTCATTTATACACAAACAAAAAATTATTTGGAAGCCGCCATCTTGAATTAATAAATTTTAACAAAAAAATCATGATCTCCGACCTCAAAAACCCCCACTTACCAATTTTGAATGGAATCGGACCAAATCTTGTCCGCCATCTTGGAGCAGCCATTTTTTTTAATTTCAACAAAAATTCCATGGTGTATTGTCACCGAAATTATGAACACCTGCCAAATGTCAAGTCAATCGGAGTTATGGAATTTTTGTTGAAATTAAAAAAAATGGCTGCCAAGATGGCGGACAAGATTTGGTCCGATTCCATTCAAAATTGGTAAGTGGGGGTTTTTGAGTTCGGAGATCATGATTTTTTTGTTAAAATTTATAAATTCAAGATGGCGGCTTCCAAATAATTTTTTGTTTTTGTATAAATGACGATAACTCCGTTGTTATCAACACAAACCTATTACTGCGACATATCATCTGTAAGGGAAAAAAAAGTTATTTGTAACTAAGTCATAGTGAGCTATGACCTACATTTGAAAAACTAAAGTTGGTGCTGATATCTCAAATTCTAGAAGAGTTGGCATAAATTTCATATTTTTTTCGAAATCACTCTGAAAAACTGACATGAGAATGTGAAATTCCTATTTGAATAATTTCACAAATAGAGAAGTTACGGAGGAGACATGAAAATGATCAAAATCTGTTTTTTGCGTATAAAACAAAAACGAATAGATTTTATCAAAATATTTTTTCACATTATAGTTGGCCTTGACAAACTTCACATTTGGTGTCATTTTAACCGACCTCATATCTCTCACCGTTAAAAAGATACCCATGGTGAGCATGGTAAGTGGGACACACTGTATAGAATTTATTTATTTATTGGATTACAAGAGTTGAAACTGCATGCTTATGAACCATTTTTTACAGTAGGTATCTAGTTGTTGAAAAATATGAATTCTTTTTTGGTATATTAGAAGAAATAAAAACAGAAAACAGCTACATTTCCAGGCTATATGCCATGATATATAATCATGAAATCGGCGTTGGTATTTTGTGATACCAGTAACTTTTTCTGAGTGGAATCGATTTTACCGCTCTAGAACAACGGAGTACAGACTACGGAACGCTCAGAATCTCCGCCCTAACAACACAGGGATGTTCTAGGTACGTACCCTTTTTGTCGCACGGTACAAGGACATAATTGGGGTATCCAGGGGTGGTTGTCCAGTGGACATCCGGCCCGGTACATCCATAGGTTATCCTATTCGTGTCCCTGGAATATCTGATATCTATTCACATCAGAGTCATTGACTTTCATCAAAATATTGAGTTGAATTTTCATGAGAATGTTTGGTTTTTTTCCGGTAAATAATTGTAATGAAAATAAAGAAAATTGTCTCAAAACTTCTCAAGAAATGACCATTTTTCGCAAACAGAAATCGTAAATGCATAATCCCCTCATTTTTAAACATCCACGAATGATAATAATAATTATACCCAAATCCTAACAAAGTTGTATTTATTCTGATTTCTGCAGTCTAGTCGTGTTTAAAAATCTGTTTGGCACATAAATCTTCAGAAGGCATATCAGCCAATGGATTAAGGTGCGTGCCTGATAAGCTAAAAGTCCCTGGTTCAACCCTTCTCGACCTAATTTTTTTTTCTTTTGTCGAAGGGATGTCCCTGGAATATCCTTGCGACCTCCTAGGGATATCCTTTCTTCGTTCTTGGTACATCCCAGGGACGTACCAGACGGAAATCCCTTGAATGCTTTTTTTGTCAGCCAGCTGATGTCCCTGGGACGTCCCTAGCATGTACTCTGTCCCGACAAAGGATATCTCTGGGATGTCCTTGTATAAAATTAGGGACGTCCCTGGGAAGTCCCTAGGATGTACTTGTGTTGTTAGGACGACAAACGGCGACGGCTTGGCAGCCATATCGCCGACAATCGCACCGAGTCGGCCGCCCCACAAAAGTAAAAGGAAAATATTTGCACTCCAAGTTTCGGCAATACATAGGTCGGATCAATGTTCGGACGCAATGTTCCGCGTTTTTCATGTGATAAATATCAGTATAATT